GGGAAAAACTACTAATTCATAGAAACATAGAATAGTTTGGTTGGAAAAGACCTTTATGATCATCTAGTCCAACCATAAACCGAGCATAACAGAAAATAATTTAATTTAGCTAAATTTGAGTATTGGTTTACCTGTGAGGGACAGATGTTGAATCTTTGTGTGATTTAATTTATAATAGCAGAAGTATCCTCTCATCTGAAGGAGCAGTTATTTTGTTTCAAATGTTCCTTTTATTCTACAGGGAAATTGGTCTCTGAAGAGATTCAAAATGGACCGCCAAGGTGTGACGCAAGTATTGTCCCGTTTGTCTTACATATCTGCTCTGGGAATGATGACTAGAATCTCTTCTCAGTTTGAAAAGACAAGGAAAGTGAGTGGTCCTCGGTCACTGCAACCATCTCAGTGGGGCATGCTCTGCCCATCTGATACTCCTGAAGGAGAGGTGAGGAACTTCTCTCCTACTTTCAGTATTTCTTTTCCTGAGGAAAGGAGACACTGTTTATTTTGAAGCAAGTGATCCTCCATCAGAGGAAGAATTCTGATGAGGAGGTTTCTGGAGACATAAATTATCCTCAGCCTGATAACACAACTTGTGTGTCTTCTCACATCCCATCTATTTACATCCTGGTCCTTCTTACTATATTACCTTTTTTCTCCTATGTGAGTAGACTGACTGGAAACTATTCAGAAACCATTTGTATATTTTACTTCAGAGACATCATCTAACTATTTAAACCAAACAATTGATGCTGACAGTCTTTGTTTTCTTTTTTTCCTGAATGAAAAGTACTGGGGGAACTCTGGACTTTTTGGTATGAATAAGTAATCAATATGAGCGAGTCTCATTAAGCAGCTGACAAAATTGCACTATATAAGATAGTTGGATATTTTTAATTTTAAAATGTTAAAGTTTATGTAGAACATACAGGATATCTGACAAATTGGTAAATAGACTGATTTTGTATTTCCGTTATTCTTCTAAGGAGCTGGTGCTTTGAAGAGCGAAATACAGGGTTATATGTGGTTGGATAACTTAAGAACTACAACCTCATCACCCACGTTTTTTATTAGTTTGTAAATACTAACACATTACGTTTCAGTGTGATATAGAAAATTCTTCCTTTCTTCCTTCCTAATTTTCTGTGTAGTTAATTTGTTTAATTTCTTTCACTTTATACTTTGACTTTTTTTGTTGTTGTTAATAAGTACAGTTTTGGAAGAAGAAGAAATGTATACTACTAATACTTTGGAATAAAATGGATAAAAGGTATATTTTTTTTTATTTTAGGCTTGTGGTTTGGTTAAAAACCTTGCCCTCATGACTCACATTACTACGGATATGGAAGATGGCCCAATTATTAAATTAGCCAGTAATCTTGGAGTTGAAGATGTCAACTTGCTCTGCGGTGAAGAACTTTCATATCCAAATGTGTTCCTTGTTTTCCTTAATGGTATGCAACTTTTCAACAGTCTGACTCTGATTTGTTGCTGATGGAGAGTTAGGCTTCGGAAACCCTCCAACAATTTTTGGAGCACAGTCAACCACAGATGCTGTTTTCCATGTGTAGATAATTTCATCCATAAATATTTTGATAGGGTTAGGCAGAGCAGAGCGCTAGATGATGGCACTTAGTTGTCTGAAGTTGTGTCCTCAGAACTCTAACTGCAGATGTGTATAGCTGAGAAATGAAAGTTTTTTTCAAATTTCAGTACTGTTTTTAAGCACACTTGCATGAATAGTCACAAAAATATGTACATTCTATTACAGATTTGTTTGTTTTTCATGCATTCACCAAATGAAGTGCCATTCATAAATTACTTTTTTAAAAGAGAATAATGCTGCTAAATTTGTAATAACTTAAATTTGAAAGTTCAGAGCTTCATTCACAGAAAATATTTTACTGTATGCTTTATGTATTTCATACACATTCATGTAAGTGCCTTTGAAAACAGAAAGGAAGCATCAATTTGCAAAGTTTAGCAATGCTATTCTCTTTAAAATTACCTTTTAAAGGGCAATTTGTTTTGTGAATGATTAGAAAAAATTAGACCTTGGAAAACAGACCTCTCTTTGTTAAAGGGATGGTTTGGCAGATGAGCTTTGCATCTGCACACTTACATTCATTTTACAACTGATCTTGTAGTGTTTCTAAATCAACAGATACTATGATATCAGATTTCAAAATACTGACATTTTAAAAACTACAACTGGGATTTAAAAATAGCCTTTTGACAACAGCATCCACTTCCAGGGACTAGTATTTGATGTCTGTCACCATGAGTAAGTTCTCCATTTACCTTTGAATTAAACAGCAGTTGTTCTTCAATCCTGCCTTTTACCAGTAACGTAAAAGCAACACTTGACCAAACTGCATTCCTTTGCTCTGCTTTTCTGTAGCAGTATGTTAAAGATAAGGTTCAGTGAAACCACATGTACTCTCTTCTGTCTCGTTTTATGGTCCAAAGGGGAGTACAGAGCAGAAATACTGGACTCTTCCTTCACAAGCTCAGTCTGTGGTATGGAACAAGATAGTTATGTTCCCAAATGTAAATAATCTAGAGCTAAGTGAGGCAAAACCATTTACCATTCAGTCTGCTAGTTTGTTGGTTTAATCCATAAAAAATTCCAGGCTTGTGGATGGCTGATGTGATTCTGATTTAAACTTGTTACCTAAGAGGGCAGAAAATCTGTTAAGAACAAATTCCTTAAGCTATGAAGACCTTTGTGTTTGTCTTATAAAGTCCTTAAACTGTCATGCTTTGTCTCCTCCTTTAAAGTTTTGTTTGAAATTACACCATAACTTATTTTTGTTTTATATATTAAGATTACTTTGGTCAGGTGACTCTTTAAAAATGAATTTTACTTTCTTGTTTGTTCATCATACATCGTAGAATCATAGTATGGTTTGGGTTGGAAGGGACCTTAAAGATCATCTAGTTCCAACCCCCCTGCCATCAGCAGGGACACCTTCCACTATACTTAAGTGTCCTGCTAAGATAGCAATAGCTTCTGGTGCTATTCTGAGTAATCACATGTATCAGAAATATCAGGTGTTTCTAAAATTTCTGACAAGACAGCAGGACAGTTCCTTGGTCTGTTTCTGGAAAATTTGGATCCACTTCAGTACAAGTGAAAGTGCAGGCTTCATAAGTGGTGTTTGCTTGTACACTAATTGATGAATTGGCCCCTGAGCAGAAACATACCTGAAGAAAGCTGGATGAAGCACACCATTTGGTTTCTTAAGCTATTTGGAGGCAAACAGATAGGTGACCTGTGAATTTTTTTTTTTTGGTGTTTACTGAGAGGAAAAAAGAGCCAGTTCTGATTCATGTCAGAAAAGGGAAATTTTATTACAACTCTTATTATTTGCAAGAAGTATGAAGTACTTCTGTGCATGCTAGATATGATCAAAATTTGTAAGTAGAATTATGGATATGCAAAGGATGCACCATGAATTTATTCCCTTTCTGAATAGGTAACATCCTTGGTGTCATACGTGATCATCAGAAATTAGTCAACACGTTTCGAATAATGCGTCGAGCAGGTTATATCAATGAATTCGTTTCCATCTCTACAAATCTTTCTGACAGATGTGTCTACATTTCCTCTGATGGCGGGAGATTGTGCAGGTAAATATCTCATCAGAATTATCTCACTAGCGAATTTACTATAAACGCTGTTTTATACACTGTAAATACACTGGGC